ATTTATTTTATAGTACTGCTTACACATTTAAATCAGTTTTTCTTAGCTTTTAACATTTATGTGCCATTCCATTATTTATTTGATACTAGTTGAGTACAATACACATGCATCACATGAGACATAATAAAAAATTTCATACCTCTTTCTTAAAAAGATAAAAATAAAATTTGGTTTAATAAAATTACATTATGATTTACATTTAAAATGATAATTGTAATTCAAATATTTTTTAGTTCATATCATAAGATTGATTTCATAGATAAATTAATTTAATTTATATTTTTAATATTGAGTGATATTTTAATATTTATTATAAAAATAATACTATGAGTAGTTAAACCAAGCGAATGAATTGAAATCGAGTTATGTCACCAAATAACACTAGTATATATTGAGCTCGTAATAGTATCCCTCAATTCAAAACTCTCTTTACGGTTAAAGAACGAGCGTGTTCTTAGGCATCATAAAAACATAGATAGATCAGCGACGGAACGAACAATGAAAACGACAACTTTTTTTTGTATATGTTCACTTGCATCATATACACAAGTGTTCTCTGAATCGGGAAATAAAGTCATCTCTCGTTAGTTCACATTGACTTGGATGAGTTTTGAAGATTTTTATATGGGACTATAGGACGCCAATGATTATTCTTACTTTATAAGTTATCAATTTTCAGGAGTTCATATCACGCGGCGGTTTATCAGAAGTTCGGAAGACGACGCCTAAATTAGTCGAACTTGCTTTCATCGATACGCTTACCGCTGTCTATGAAATTATTTTGTTGCATACTCTTCCCCGGTCTAGTGGAGCTTGACCCTCACCCTAATAATTATTTGTTTCTCGCAGTTATAAGTTGTTCTATTCCGCGCTTACTTTTTTTTATGTGGAATAAATTATGTTCGAAATTGAGATACTTTTATATTAGCAACACAAGCCAAAACTAATGGATTTTTCCAACTATCAAATCTCGGGCAGCAGGAAGCATCCAAAAATATTTACTTATATATATATATATATAAATATATATATTGAATGCTAAATTAAAACTCGTTAAAAAAATAATTAATTTGATGTATCGTATATGAAAATCTAATAACAACTATTTATTTTTAAAATGTAACTAGTACAATACCCGTGTATTACACGGGTGTTGAATTAGAAAGCTTTTGTACAAAATATTAAATTTTTTATTTTTTAAAAACAAAAATAATTTAATTTTATGTAGAACATTACTTTGAGTTTTAATTAAATTGCTAAATTATATTTTTTTTAATTATAATAATTGAACACCCGTGCATTAAATGAAAATGTCAACCCGTGTTGAATTTGTTTACTTATATCATATAAAAATATAGATATTATTTACTATTACATAAGCACAAAAATATATATCTTAAATAAATAGAAATAATATGGTGATATGTATATGCATAAGTGTGAAGTATTTTTATTTCATATTAAGCAAAATAGATTAATTTTTGTACTTAATTAGATACCTAATACATCAAGTGTCGATTATATATTTTAGAATGACACTTGTTACTTGTGCGACTTACATGTGTTATATTATAATAATTTTTTTTAACTTATAACATATAACTATTTTAAACATAAATGTATTACTTAATAATTTTATTTTTTTAAATAAATATTAATAAATAATTTTATTATTACTATAAAGATAAATATATTTTATTTAATTTATACAGACAATATGGATGTCAAATCGAAGCTCATCAAAAGATGATTAATTGAATATGTTATATATGTAAAATCGATAAGAAATACAAAAGTTATCAACTTTTAAAATACATTTATAATTCAAAGGTTATAATAGGAAATCAATCATGGATTTAATATGATAAAAAATATTAATTTATATATCCAAGCCTAACTCTAAAGTATGATTTTTTGTCAAATAAGATTCCGAAGCATGAGAGTTTGTCACGTAAGCTCAGCGCATTCTGAAATTATATAAAGAAGGGATATAATTTAAATTAATTAAATATATTTATAAATTTAAAAATTATAATATAGTTATAAGTCCAAATCTATATGACAATTCCAAACAGTGACAACTACAATTACGAAAAATCAATACATGTAACTAGTGCGTGGCCCGTGCGATGCACGGGAAAACAATATTACGATTGTATTATAAATTAAATATATAAATAACATTAATCATGATTTATCCATTATTTTTAAATTAAACCAGGTTAGACACAGTCTGACTGGATGAACCGAGAACCGGTTTATAACCAGTCTAGTTCGCTTAAATAAAATATTTGCTCTCGAATCCGTCAACACCAGTCGGTTGGACTGGTAGGATTGATACGATTTTCTAAATAAATTTATTTTAAATAAAATTTCATATTTAAATAAAATTCCATATTTAAATTTATTTTAAATAAAATTCCATATTTAAATAAAATAAAGATTTATAAATTATTTATCAATTAGTTTAAACATTTGAATTTATAAATTGTTTTAATATCTAAGTAACACATTTTATTTAAATTTATTACAAAAAGTACTATATATATATATTAAAATGTTTATAAATTAATATTTGAACAAACCACAAATGATTTAATAAAATAGCTTAATCGTTTCGATGACGGTCCAGTCCTGCAAATCTTATATTTACTGTACGTACATTAATAAATATTATAATAAAATATTATTTACTTCACATAAATATTAATAAAATGATATATAAATATTCATAAATCATTAAACATGTTGTTATAAAAGTATTGTTAATATGAATATTTTAAGTTTGGACTACATCACATTCACGTAATAAAATATTTTTAATATACCATTTATATTTAGGTTCAATAATCGATTCAGTGTGGTCGAACTTATACATAACTTAGTCACCTGGTGATAAGTTGTATTCTTGCCATGTTAATTGTCATGTTTTCCATACTTTTTCGGTGTTTATTTGAGCTTATTTATTGATTTTTAATTGAATTCTATAATTTATGTAGGATATCTCGAAATTTGGAATTTATGATGATTGGAAGGCGAAAGAGACGAATTTGAGCTAAGGCGTGGGCACGCTAATTTCCTACAAGAGTTAGAAGAGGAAAGGAGTCTTGAGTTGGAAAGAGAAATAAAAGACTTTATGGAATTTATTTATTTATAGACTATTTTATTTTCTTTTAGGATATTTTGGAGAGAGAATATTATTTTCTACGTATTTAAATTAGGATTAGGATTAGACTGATAATAAATCAGACTGCTAGGTATTATTTTTCTTCTCTCTCTCCTTTTCTTTTGGGTTCCTTCGACGTTTTCTTTTTATCTGCTCTGGCCGATCTGCGCATCTGCTTTTGACGCACGACAGACAGAATTCATCTGCAATTTATTTTATTTCTACTGTCTTTATTATTCTTGGATGAATATTGTGGAGAATACTACCATGTTTATGGATAGCTAAATTATTTTTCCAGCCAAATGATTATTCATGATTTGGTTCTACATGATTTGTGAGATCTAATTGTGTTTTCAATTCCCTATTCTCTTTTATTCGTATGTCTCTTGTGTTTATTATCAATTGTTAATTTGGTTGATTGATGCAAAAGAGCTCTTGTTCAATTGACGGAATAGCATATCGCCATTTAGGACATTAAATCCGTAATTGTTTGATTGTTCTAATATTGGTGGGAAGAACATAGTTGATTACTAAGGGTTTTTGATTTTATGTTTAGGGAGATATATGATCTAGTCTAAATGATCCTACATGTGTGTTTGTTGGCTTGAATTGGTGATCCTTCTAGTTTTAATGCTGTAGATAGATTAAATCCTATGATCGTATCTAGGACTGTCTGTTGATTGGAGAAATAATTAGAGATCGTATCCTGATTATCGAATAAGTAAGGAAGGATAGGTTATTAGGTCGTACCAATAACCATAACCAATTTAATTGAGAGTAGGAGAATTATCTTTGCATCTATGATCAAATCATTGAACCATTTCTACGAATTTTTCCTTTGGTTGGATATTTTATCTCCGTGATTTACTCTATTCAAATCTTGAATCTCTCCTTTCCGTGTTTATTTCAGTTGAATTGCATTTTTATTATTTTAGGTAATTCGAACATTTCAAAACCCCCATCTTTTTATTTATTTATTATTCCTTCACGAAATAGTTGCATCGACTCATTTCATCCAATCTCTGTGGACACGGCCCTACTCATTGCTACTACAATTTTATATTTTAGACGAGTAGGAATTTATTATTATTGTTGGTTTCGACACCCTCCACCTGGGACCAACCAAGTTGTATCAATTTTTTTTTTACTATTTTAAATATCATCTAAAAGTAATTCAATCAACCTGGGCACTACCCTAATTCAATCACTTGATTGATCCTGAAGAAATATTTTTATTTTCTTTAAATATATTTAGTTTTATGAAATAAAAATATTTTATGATTCATATAATAAATGTCTACACCAAATGATAGTATATTAAGATTATAAATAATATATCTAAAGATGAATTAATTATTTTTACTTTATACATATTAATAAAAAATAACATTGTAATTTTCAAAAAATTAAGATTAATTTATTGATTATGCAATTTAAAGAATATTTTTAGCGTTCAATATTTATTTTAAAGGCACAAATATAAAGACCGAGATTCTAAAACTTTCGTTATATTCTGAATTGAGATTTTATAAATATAGAGACCGAAATTTTAATGTTGTTCGTTGTTTCTAAGAAATAAATAAAAATAAAAACATACACACTTAATAAATCTTAGCCGGATTTTTTAAATAATAAAATGAACTAAATCCCAAAATTTAAGGTAACATTTAATGCTGTATATTTTTTAAAGAAAAAAATATAAAAATAATAAAACTTACTATTTATAAGATGCATTAAATTCAGACCTATTTTTTTATTATTATTTTGATAAATGGTAATTCTTATTATATATATATATATAGATTTCATTATAAAAATTGAAAAAAGAATAGTCAAATGAAATGGGCAGTTATTTTGGTAATGGGCTGAGAGTCTGGGGGAGGTGGCTCAGCTCTCGAGAAACAAGATGAAATTGTAGTCTGCTTTCCCTTTCGTTTCCGTAGATTTTTATATATAAGCACACGCACAAAACGCAGAGCGGCAGAGAGGTTTGGGGAGCATCAAATGGGGAGGGCTTTCGTGTACGTAATTATTGGAGGAGGAGTTGCAGCTGGCTATGCCGCCCATGAATTTGTTAAGAGGGGCGTCTCTCACGGCGAACTCTGTATAATCTCTGAAGAGCCTGTAATCTCCCTTTCTCTATGCATCTGTTTATGTGCGTGTTCTTGTTGCTATATCAATATAGTGCGCCTCGCGGTCTATAGTATTTGTTTTTTCACTGCAATTATTTGCAAAACTCCGCAATTTAACTGATTATTTATCTATTTTTATTTCTGGTGAAGTTTTCTGTCAATCACGAAAGTAATTTTCATTTTCATGGAGAATATAATTCGAAATTAACTGTGACAACATCCGTTTAGCTCTCCCGGGAGCTAACTGAGCGTGGAAAACACGGAGTTGTATGAAGATATTTTTATATGCCAGCTCAAGATGTTCATATATTTGCGGTTCTTCAATCTATCTCAATTGTGTAGAAACTTTGATTAGGTTTTTGCTGTGGTTTGAAAAAGGTGTGTCTTCGCTTTGATATTTAGGAACATCACTTTTATTCACTATGTTTGATGATCACTTCCAATCAATTTGCTTTGGGATGTATCAGGCAGCTCAATGATCTTTCCATCAACAGCTATTGTAGATTGGATTTCAATTGCATAATCTTCATAAAGCTTTTTGACATTTTAGTTATAAAAACATCAGATTTAGGTTCAGTGCCTGACTTAAAGAGTTCTATCTGAACTCTAAGTGGCAAGGGATATGTAACAGTCCTTACACAACATGTGTTAGTTCTGTCTTCAGCAGTCTTAAAATTTAGAGTTTCTTGCACTTGTGAAATTTCACACAAAAATTGTATGCTTATAAGCAATCATCAGGTGGATTTATTGCTAATTAAATCTTCATGTGGACATTTCATTTGTGGTGTGCAGTTCCTAATTCCTCTTCTCCTATGCAGCTATTATTTTTTGACATTTGACTCTTGCCCGTGTTCATGGCGTCACACATGCTAGTATGCTAGGAATATCTATGTATTTTTCTGTCTTGTATTATCATGTTTATGGTAATTAGCATAGAAGTTTTTTCCATGCAATTGTGTCTTTTTATTATTGTTTTGATGTGACTTGGTGTTCTGTTTCATATACTTTGAAATGGTAATGATTCATTGAAATTGGTAATTATTTGCAGGTTGCACCCTATGAAAGGCCTGCATTGAGCAAAGGTTACTTACTTCCAGAAGGTATTTATTCCCTCAGCATAACAGAGCAGTTATTTCAGTCTCCTTCACGAGTAATTATCTCAGCTGAAAATGAATGCATATATTTATCTATACATTTGAAAAAAAAAGTTGGGCCAAAAAGGAATGGGTGCTTAAGAGAAACTATACTGTCTTAGATCAGAAATATGACTTCTGCTTCAACATGTAGAATTACCTGCTATAGAGTTAGTATGATACATAGTATTTGATATCATGACGGCATTTGAATGCTGCATAATACAAAAGTTCCCTTAAGCTTGCTCAAACGTAATCCATGCGCTAATCATTCTTCAAATGGGAATACTTGAAGCATTTGCATATCCTCTGTTTAGATTAATTTTTGCCTTTTATGTTTCTAATTCTCTGTTTTTAAGATGCATTGGAACTTATTATCATCCTTCTCTAATCTCAAGCGAGGATGAGAGCTCCATATTTATATAGGAGTTAACTGTCTGACTTTGTTCATGCAGCTCCTGCACGCCTCCCTTCATTTCACTGTTGTGTAGGTACCAATGAGGAAAGACTGCCTCCAAAATGGTACAAGGAAAATGGTAAGTTTCTCTAATGTAGCAATTAAAGAGGCTGTTGTTACAGGTGAAAGGTGCTAGTATCTAGTCATTGCTATATTATGTGCTGGTTAAACAACTTGGACATTTTTATTTACAAAATAAATACAACAACAACAACAACAAGCCGTTAAAATCCCATTAAGTGAGGTTGGCTATATGGATCACATGTCGTCATCGTAGTCTATCAAAACACATATCCTCCTTCAAATTTAAATATTTTTAATCATTTTTTATTGATTGCTTCCAAGTATTTTTATGTCTACCCCTCCCCTTTTTAATTTGCGTTCTTAATTCTAATGTTTCTACCCTTATCACCAGGGCCTCGAAATCTCTCCTACGCACATGCCCAAACCATCTTAATCGTGATTCTTTCATTTTCTCCTCTATGCGCACTACCCCAACTTTATTTCTAATACTTCCATTTTTAATCTAACCTAAAACATGTAAAATTTAATTATTGGTATAGTGTTAGATTTCATTTATAGGGGAAATCCTAAGATTTGGACATTAGCTCTGTGCTAGTGATATCCTATATTGCTTTGAGTTTTAAAGAAATTGTTTTATTTGAGCAATATATTACGATTACCAATCTGTAGCTATTTAATTCCTATTAATGCTATTCTTTAGGTATTGAGTTAATTCTTAGCACTAGAGTCAAATCTGCTGATGTTAGGCGGAAGACACTGCTAACTGCAACAGGAGAAACCATAAGCTACAAATATCTCATAGTTGCAACAGGTGCTCGGGTACTGACGCAAATCTTTTTTTGGTATTGTATTACAGTGTGCTTGGTAAAAGGTATATCATTTTATGTGCTAATACATAATGCATGTGGGGTTAATTTTCCATCTGGAACTGAGCTCATATTTGTTTTAGCAGAATGCCATATTTGATGCTGGGCCAAGAAGATATGTATTTTGTTCGTTTTCTTTTATTGTGTTGGAAGTGGTCAGTTCATTCTAGTATATTTTTTTTGTTATCTAATTCCCAAATTATCCTTTGGGTTGGAAACTCCGGTGCTATTGTGAAGAGAAAATGAGGCATACGAAGCATGCTAATTAAGCTTTATGTTAACTTATAGGTTTTGAAGCCGTGAACTGTCACAACTTGTAATAACGATGAACTTTGAGTCGTTATTCAGGAGGAATGCCTGTTACATAGCTTCAAATAATTGAGACAAGAAACCAGCAAGTTTTATGACTGATTTGGTGGCTCATCATTTGTAGGCATTGAGGCTTGAAGAGTTCGGAGTTAATGGATTAGATGCAGCTAATGTGTGCTATCTGCGAGACTTGGCTGATGCAGACAGACTTGTGAATGTGATGCAATCCTGTAGTGGTGGAAATGCTGTTGTTATTGGTGGAGGCTATATAGGAATGGAATGTGCTGCATCGTTGGTGATTAACAAATTGAATGTGACAATGGTTTTCCCTGAGGCGCAATGTAGTAAGTAATTTTCTTAAATTTCATTCACTTCCAGCTTGAATAATTAACCTTGGTACTATCTCTCTCTCTATCTCTTTCTCTCTCACTCTCTCTCTCTCTCTCTCTCTCTCTCTCTCTCTCTCCCACTCTGTGTGTGTGGGAGAGAGAAAGTGTGTGCGTGCGTGACTATTACCAATCCAGAAAACAGTTGTTTTGACTGAGGATCTGTGTTGACTAATATATCTAATGTTATTATTTCTTTGCTCATTTTGGTGTGCAGTGGCCCGCTTATTTACCCCTAAGATTGCTAGTTATTACGAAGAATTTTATCAGTCCAAAGGGGTGAAGTTTGTGAAAGGAACCGTTCTGACATCATTCGATTTTAGCTCGGACGGAAAGGTAAAATTATTCATCATTTGAGTACTTGAATACACTAAAAGATTCTGACATACACAAGATGATATTATGTATCTGTATGACCACTTAGATGCCACAAATACAAGTAAAAGATGGTAAAAACAAATCTAAAGTTGTGTATGTTAAAACTATTATTATGATGGGATAAAAGACAAAAGAGAAGAGCATAGTTGTTCAAAAAAGATAATAGAAGTTGCATTTATGCTAATGAGGCACCCTCCAGCATCAAATGGTTTCATATCTAACAACAATCATCCAAAAGTTAAAATAAAAACAACAATCTAACAACAAGCATCCAAAATTTAAAATAAAAACAACTTATATATTAAAAATTGTAAATATTAAAATAAATAAATGAGGTGCCTTAAAAATAAAGAATGACCCAACAAGAACATAAAAAAAAAACTAAAATATTANCCCCCCCCCCAAAAAAAAAAAGAATAAAAAAAAAGAAGTTTCACCAAAATCCGAAATTATAACACTTGGAGTTGAAAAAAATAGAAGCATGAGTGTCATACTGATTGATACAGGGTTCGATCCCTACCTCTCATATTCTTATGAATTTAGTCCCCTCCCCCGTCATTAATTATTAAATAAAACAGTAAGTGTTCGTTTGTTCCATTTTTCACAGCAAGTAACAAGATATATTAATTCAAATCCTTAGTTACAAGCTTAATCATCCACGAAGGAAAATCACCTTTTTCCCCCACAAGAGAAGTGTGAAAAGAAGAAAATGAAGAAATAGCATGCGCCACATGATTGGCCAATCATCTAGATACGTGAGAAACAAAACAATTATCCGACTCATCTAATATCCACTTAATGTCAGCTGCAATCACTCCACAATAGCCGAGAGACTCCTTAGGATTTGTAACTGCTTGTACAACACCTATGGAGTCTGTTTTCACTTGGACGGGAAATAAATTCTTCTCTTTGGCAATTTTGATCCCTTCCATGACAGGTCACCGCGGTCAACCTCCGTGACGGCTCGAAACTCCCGGCCGACATGGTGGTGGTCGGCATCGGCATCCGTCCCAACACGAGCCTCTTCGAGGGACAACTCACCATGGAGAAAGGTGGCATAAAGGTGAACGGCAAGATGCAATCGAGCAACCCCTCCGTCTACGCCATCGGCGACGTGGCATCCTTCCCCGTCCTCACCGTCGGCGGCGAGACTCGCCGCCTCGAGCACGTCGACTCCGCCCGCCGCTCGGCCCGCCACGTCGTGGCCTCCGTGACGGACGGCCCGGAGATTTCACCCGACTTCGACTACCTGCCCTTCTTCTACTCGCGCGTCTTCACCCTGTCGTGGCAGTTCTACGGGGACAACGCTGGGGAGGCGGTGCACTTCGGGGACTTCTTTGCGGGGCCCACGCTGGGGGCGTACTGGGTGAACAAGGGGAGGGTGGTGGGGTCGTTTTTGGAAGGGGGGACCAAGGAGCAGTATGAGGCGGTGGCGAGGGTGGCGAGGGTGAGGCCGAGGGTGGAGGATGTTGGGGAGCTCCAGAGGCGGGGATTGGAGTTTGCGCTGTC